ACAAATAGTACTCTGAAAGCAAGAAAACTGGAATATAATTCACCCTTTGAAGACTTTATGCCATTTTACCATAGTATATATTATAGTAAATATTACCTGGCTAATTAGAGGATCCTATAAACAAGTAATAACATTGTATCAGACAATTCAATGAGGTCTTCTAATAAGAAGTATCTTGTAACCAATCCAATATATCAGAAAAAAGTCTTACTCCTTTGACTTTTCCTGGTTACTTCTACTGGGACCTACAGAAACCGTCTTTCTACAGGCTCAGGCCAGGACTGTTCCTGGTGAAAGAGGGAAACAGATCAGTAACTTGAGTCTCACAGTCTTGGAAGGCCTACAATTGTCACATTTCCAGTCCTGGCATTTCATGGTCAATGATTATCAGCTCCTTTATAATTCCCACCACTGCAGCCTGCTCACAGACTTTTGTTCCAACAGTCCAGGTTATGATATTCCCAGAAAGAGCAAGCTGTGCCTAAATCCAAACTTCCCATTTTTCTTCTTCAGTAGCGTAACCCAATATTTCTCAATGTGAAAATCTCAAAACACATGCGTCACAATCATAATGTTGACTCAATAAAAACACAGCTCCTTATGTATGGGTACATGGGAACTCTCTGTACTATCTTCACAAGTTTTCTGTAAATTTAAGCTGTTCTAATATTAAAAGTATATATTTTAAATTCACCTACCTAGTTTCCAAACTTATCTGCTAAATCCTTATTTCTAAAGATTTTATTTATTTATTTGACAGAAGGAGACACAGCAAGAGAGGGAACACAAGCAGGGGGAGCAGCAGAGGGAAAAGCAGGCTTCCCATGGAGCAGGGGGAGGTAGATGAGGGGCTCGATCCCAGGACCCTGGGATCATGACCTGAGCTGAAGGCAGAGGCTTAATGACTGAGCACCCCAGGCACCCCTAAACCATTATTTCTAGAATCGGCATGAGGGAAAGTGCATTGTAATAAATATCCCAGCTGATTTTTATGCACACTAGTTTCCACAGTGTCTAAGAATAGGCTTATGACCTTTATACTCTCTTCAGTATTGCCCAATTCACTGACCGATCTTCAATGTGAATCTGGAACCATAGATGTTACCATCACTCTGTCCATGACTCAAATTGTTGGATGTATCTTTTGTTGGTAATAGCTTCCTAGGCAAAAAGTAAATAAATAAATAACCACCTGTAATCAATTGTAGGTATGCTGACTGATGAAATGAGCTCCTGGAATTAGTAAGTGGCGTAAACACCAAGCTTCCCTCACCAGGTCCAACCTCAAGTCCTGAACAAACAACCTTCACTGCTAACTTTTGTTTTCCTGGATCATGAAATGCCCCCCACTGCCACACACCTGAGTTAAGATGAAGGTGAGAAAAAGGATAAGAAAACCCATTTTGAGGGGCGCCTGGGTGGCTCAGTTGGTTAAGCGACTGCCTTCGGCTCAGGTCATGATCCCAGGGTGCTGGGATCGAGTCCCACATCGGGCTCCCTACTCAGCGGGAAGCCTGCTTCTCCCTTTCCCACTCCCCCTGCTTGTGTTCCCTCTCTCACTGTGTCTCTCTCTGTCAAATAAATAAATAAAATCTTAAAAAAAGAAAAGAAAAGAAAACCCATTTTGGAAAAAAAAAAAAGCCTTCCCATCACAAAATTCTAAAAAAATTAACAGAGGTATATTAAATGGGAGTATTTAATATGTTTCTTACGGCTTTCTGGAATCAGAAAGTAATTACCTATTACTTACATTATTTACATTCATTTATTTGTTTGCTTAAATTGTCACATTAAGCAACCACAAATGAAATATAAGTTACTAACTAGTTACTTAAATGTAATCACTGAAATGATATTGTATGTAATACAATTATATTAAAATTGATTAATCCACCCATCAGCATTTGTAAAATGATCTAAAATTTGTCAAATTTGCTTTGTATGAAGCATTCTTATGGAAAACCTGAAAATTGTTTTGAAAAAACAACCAGATGACTACTGAGTGCTTTTTTGAATGATCTTTATTACCCCTTTTACTCACAGGAGCCCATAGAACAAAATTAATATTATTTTAAGGCACAAATTGTGCCACCAAATGCAGTTTATCTTACTGTTAACCTTTTAAGGCTATTTTCCTTACTATTCAATTTAGGCATACCATTCAAGTCTCTTGGTCCCAAAATGATTTCAAGGAGTTATGTTTCCAACAAACTTCTTAAATTACTTGATTTTAATCTTGTCTGTTTAAACTTAAATTAAATTAATGAACAGAAAATGCCTTATGTGTACCTAACTAGAAAAAAACCCTGAAATATTAAAACAATGTGCCAAAACCTGATTCACATCATCCAGCGCTAGGGACCCTGGGTCAGGCCTCCTGGCCCCCTGTGCTGCTCTTGTTCAGTGGGGACTATGCCAGAAACAACTAGTCATTGTGAAGAATTGTTTAAAAATGAATGTGCTGAAGATTTTCTGATTCACATTCATTATCCACTGACCTGCTCTCAATGGATTTCACAAAGAGAAGCAAAACTAATTACCTCTGGCCAGGCTGTCTGGAAAATAATGGCACAGTGATTTAGAGAGAAACATTCATGCTGTAGAGGCCTTTTGGAATAGTATATATTTTTAAAATTAAATATCACACTTTTTAATGATAAAACTTTTGCATTTGAACTAATGCACCATCACTTCTTAAAAAAAAAATCAGTACTAAACAAAAGACCTTTGTGGGCTAAATATCAGTACTATTAGTTAGCCTCATGTTAAGTGATCTCAACATACTTGAAGAGAGGCTTGCAAAATTTAGGGGATTATATGTGTGAAGAGGGGCACTTTAGAAAGGAGGAAAGAAAATAGTATGATAAATATTAGGAGGTCTAAGGTAAGTTGTTTATTAATCCCATTTATTATCACTGTCTTGATTTACCACAAAAACAATTGTTTTTTTCTTAATAAAACATGCATAATGGATAATGAGAATGTTTTCCAATGAAACCTCTCTTGTTACAAGGGTTTACTGATCTTATTGATATGCAAGGAAATTCTGCAAATCTCCTAATAGCTTAGTGTAGAATAGGTAGTGGTGACAACATTGAAATCTATTGCTTTGAAGGGAAGCAAGCTATTAGAGATTTGTTAGTAGAAATATAATGTGTGCAGTCAGTGCATTCTGGAAACACATAGAGGTCACAAGACCATAGCAAAAAATATCTGAAATAATAATGAGGGGGATCTATGAAATGATTACATTCTTATGACCACAAAAGTGAAGGAAATCAAGGGCACAGTGAGAGTTTGACCAAATACTGGATAGAACAGTGGCTCCCAGAAGCCCTAATTATGAGGTCCTCTCTCACAGCTAAAAAATAATCATATGAAAATTAGTAAAGAGAAGTTAGAGATGAAAATTTAGTCTAGTGGTTCAGTTGGCTCTACTTTGGATGAAGTCTGAAAAGGTTTGGAAACAAATTAAATTGCACCGAAAAGCTAAAGAGGAAAACATATTGGACTATATGCAAAATGTTTATGTAAATTTTCACACTGGGAGGAGACTGGGAAGGTGCCAGAGTAGGAGGATCCTAAGCTCATTTTATCCCACAGATATACCTAGATAACAGCCATAGCAGTGTAACCCAGAAAACCACCCAAAGACTGGCAGAACAGACTCTCCACAGTTAATCATAGAGCATAAGCCACACTGAAAATGGTAGGAAGGGTAGAGACATGGTCAGGTACCAAACAAACCTTTAAGACTAACCACAAATGGGAGGGCCACCACAAGCACAATGAAAGGAGAGGAACAAACCCCACATCAGGCACCCCAGACACAGGGGTGGGAAGACATGTCCCCATAACACTGGGTTATGAAAACCAGAGGGGCTTAACTTTGTGAGTTCTTACAATTAGTGGGGCTTAACACCAGGAACTTTAAAAATCACCTGACTGAGCTCTGGGAGGGCCCAAAAGTGATAGGAAACAGTCCCCACCCTTAAAGAAACAGCATAACAAATAATACTGCCAATATGCAGCATAAAAGCAGCAGTTTAAAAAGCACCTGTGGTATATGAGACATAGATTTTATTTACTAATCTCAGAACTTGTGCACTGGAGGGGCAGATATCTTTAGGAGACTTCTCCAAGAACAAAAAGAACTGTCTGCATCATTTCTCTACCTACCCCACCCCCCAGGCTAGATAACCAGACAGCTGCTAGAACCAACACAAAACACACTGCACATCTAGCTTGCTAACACTGAGTGCCCCATCCCTGCATTCTCCTGTGGACTGCCCCATCCAAACCACCCTACTTTGTAAGAGTCCAAACAAAGCAGACACCTATCATTCTGCAAGCAGCTCCAACATAGGCCAGCACCATTCCAAAGTGACTCATGTCCTAGCATAAGGGGAAGATAATCACACACCAGTTTGAATGTAGTCCCAACAGTGGGTTGGGGGCATACATCTGATCTGACTGATGACACTGCCCAACAACAAAAACCTCACAGGGGACAATACAAAGAACCCTGCAGATCAAGTCACTGCAACACCAATAGATAGATTGGGGGAGGGCATATGTTCTGACTGGAGGGCCTGTCCATCAACAAAACCTCTCAGGGAACAATGTGAGGAGAGCAACCTGCAGTTCGGTGTGATCACAGTTCTGGCAATTGGGCTGAAGGCAAGCATCTGGTTTAAGCCAACTTAAGCCCAAGAGAGCCTCAAGTCGGCCCCTTAATAGCACAGGGACCAAACCCTGCCCAAAACAGGCAAAGAGGGCCATTGCAGCCAACTGAACTAAAGACAAACATGGTTCAACCACAACAGTAAGACATGTGCAGGACACATAAGAGACATACCTGAAGTGCCAGGTTCTGGTGAATGAGGGACACTGCACTGATGAGCAGTGCAGGATATCCTCTTCATAAGGCCACTACTTTCAAGTACAGGAGACATAGATAACTTTCCTATACAAGGAATAGAGACAAAATACTGGACAAAATGAGCAAAAGAGCTAATAAAATGCAGGTAAGTAATATGTCTGATAGAGAATTCAAAGTAATGGTCATAAAGTTACTTACTCAGCTTCAGAAAAGAGTGAAGGATCTCAGTGAGACTTACAACAACAACAACAAAAACAAAAACAGAAAATATTAAAAAACACATCAGAGATCATTAAAAGCCCACTAGACAGAATAAATAGTAAACGAGAGGAAGCAGAAGAATGGGTCAGCAAGCTGGAAGACAGAATAATGGAAAAAAACCAAGCTGAACAGCAAAAAGTAAAAGTTATAATAAAAAATAACAATAGGTTATGGGAATTCAGCAATATCATCAAGCATAATAATGTTCACATTATAGGGATACCAGGAGAAGAGAGAGAAAGGGGGGGCATATAATTTATATATAACAAGTAAGAAGAAAAAATAGCTGGAAACTTCCCAAATCTGGGGAAGGAAACAGAAATCCAGATCCAGGAGGCACCGAGAGCCCCCAGTAAATCAACCTAAAGAGGTCCATACCAAAACACATGAAAATTAAAGTGGTAAAATTAGGGATAAAGAGAGACTTTTTAAAACAACAATGAGAAAAGAAAACAGTCACATACAAGGGAAAACCCATAAAGCTATGAGATGATTTTTCAGTTTTCAGCAAAAGCATTCCTGGCCAGAAGGAGATGGTATGATATATTTGAGGTGCTGAAAGGAAAGAAAAAAAAAATGTAGCCAAGAATACTCTAACCAGCAAGACTATCATGCAGAACAGAAGAAGAGATAAAGCATTTTCTAGACAAAAATAAAAGGCAAAGAAATTCATCACCACTAAACCAGCCTTACAAGAACTATTAAAGGGAATTTTTGAGTGGGAAGGAAAGGCCATAATCAGGAGATAGAAAATTAAAAAATAAAATGCACAGGTACATGCAAACAACATAAAAGTAGTAGATTAATCACTTACAAAAATCAGTATGGAAATGCCTGACTTCAACCTATATTACAAAGCTGTGATCATCAAGACAGCAACGTATTGGCACAAAACCAGACACATAGATCAGTGGAACAGAATAGGGACCCCAGTAATGGACCCGAAACTCTGTGGTCAACTAATCTTTGACAAATCAGTAAAGAATATCCAATGGAAAAAAGACAGTCTCTTCAATAAATAGTGCTGGGAAAATTGGGCAGTCACATGCAAAAGAATGAAACTGGACCATTCACTTATACCATACACAAAGATAAACTCAAAATGGATGAAAGACTTCCATGTGAAACAGGAATCCATCAAAATCCTAGAGGAGAACATAGACAGTAACCTCTTTGACATTGGCCACAGCAACTTCTTTCAAGCCACATCCCTAAAGGCAAGGGAAACAAAAGCAAAAATGAACTTTGGGGACTTCATCAAGATCAAAAGCTTCTACACAGCAAAGGAAATAGTCAACAAAACTAAAAGGCAACCCACAGAATGGGAGAAGATATTTGTAAATGACATTACAGATAAAGGGCTGGTATCCAAGATCCATAAAGAACTTCTCAAACTCGGGGCACCTGCATGGCTCAGTCAGTTGAACGTCTGCCTTCAGCTCAGGTCATAAACCCAGAACCCTGGGATTAAGTCCCACAACAGGCTCCCTGCTCAGCGGGGAGTCTGCTTCTCCCTCTGCCTATATGGCAAATGCAGATTCAAAGTAAAGAGATGGAAAAATGTTTATCATGCAAATGAAAGTGAAAAGAACTTCAGGGTAGCAATACTTATATCAGACAAAAATATACTTTAAAAGAGACTGTAACAAGAGAAAAAGGACACTACATAATCATAAAGGGAGCAACCCAAAAAGAAAGTATAACAATTGTTGGGGCGCCTGGGTGGCTCAGTTGGTTAAGCGACTGCCTTCGGCTCAGGTCATGATCCTGGAGTCCCAGGATCGAGTCCCGCATCGGGCTCCCTGCTCGGCAGGGAGTCTGCTTCTCTCTCTGACCCTCCCCCCTCTCGTGTGCTCTCTCTCTCATTCTCTCTCTCTCAAATAAATAAATAAAAATCTTTAAAAAAAAAAAAAAAAAGAAAGTATAACAATTGTAAATATTTATGCACCTAACTTGGGAGTACCCAAATATACAAAGCAACTATTAACAGATACAAAGGAAGAAATTGATAGTAATACAATAATAGTAGGAGACTTTAACATCCCACTTACATCAATGGATAGATCATCCAGACAGAAAATCAACAAAGCAGCAGTGGCTTTGAACGACACATTAGACCAAATGGATCTAATAGATATATCCAGAACATTCCATTCAAAAACAGAAGGAATAGGAGGAGGAGGGAGTTAAAATGGCAGAGTAGTGGAGGGACCCTGCTTGCCTCATCCCTTAAACACAGCTAGATTAACGTCAAATCATTTTAAATGCTTAGGAAATCAAATGGAGGATTGAGAGAAAATCTGCACAATTAGAGGGAGAGAAAGTAACAGGTATGAGGTGCAGAGATGTGAATTGGGGGAGAGAAAGACTGCAGTGGCACAGAGGTGAGGGAGCCCTTTTTGCAGAGAGAGGAGAAAGAGAGAAGGGGGGGGGAGAAAGAGCAGCTTGTCAGGTTCACCCAAGAAAAACACTTCTCCAAAACCACTGACTAGGGAATTGAGAGGAACTGACTATCACAAGTTTTTACAAGCAGCAGAGCTCAAATTCTGAGTTTTAGAAGTCCGCACCATTTGCTGGAGTCAAGCCAGATGAGCATAGCACTGCTCTCCTGGGGAGAAGGAGGTCAGAGGCCCAGGAGTGGACAGCATGATGTAGGGATCCCCTGGGTCACATTGGGAGAGAATGATTCCCTTCTTGGAGTACTTTTGGAAGAGAGTATATTGCCTCTTCAAGGACAAAACACCCGGTGTGTGCCACTGAGTAGATGTTCATCAGTATGGGACAGAAACATGCACAGAGGGTAGATAACCTGTTCACTACTTTCTGCTGTGCTTCACCATAAACTCCAAGCAACTGTGCAGTTGTGCAACAACTTTTCTGGGACAAAACAATAATTACTCTCATGAACAGGAAACATAACAAGCTTTCATAAGACAGAAACCTAGAAAAAATGAAGAGATGGAGGAATTATCCCCAAAAGAAAGATCAAGAAGAAATCAGAGCTAGGGACTTGCTCAAAACAGATATAAGCAATATATCTGAACAAGAATTTAGAAAAACAATCATAAGAATATTATCTGGGTTTGAAAGAAGCATGGAAGACACCAGAGAAACCTTTGCTACAGATATCAAAAAACGTAAAATTAGTCAGGCTGACTATAAAATGCTATAACTGAGATGCAAAACTGACTGGATGTAATCACAAGGATGAAAGAAGCAGAGGAATGAATAGGTGATATAGAAGATAAAATGATGAAAAATAATGAAGCTGAAATGAAGAGGGAAAGAAAACTATTAGATCACAAATGTAGACTTAGGGAACTCAGCAACTCCATAAAGTGCAATAATATCCATATCATAGGAGTCCCAGAAGAGTGGAAAGAAAGGGCAGAAGGTTTATTTAAAGAACTTATAGCTGAGAACTTGCCTAATATGGGGAAGGAAACAGGTATTTGAGTCCAGGAGCCACAGAGAACTGCCCTCAAAATCAACAAAAATAGTTCAACACCAAGACATATCATAGTGAAACCCGCAAAATACAAAGAGAATTCTGTAAGTAGCTAAAGATAAAAGGTCCTTAACCTACAAGGGTAGACACATAAGGTTAGCAGCAGACCTGTCCATAGAAACTTAGAAGGACAGAAGAGAGTAGCATGATATATTCAATGTGCTAACTGGGAAAAATATGCAGCCAAGAATACATTATACAGCAATGCTGTCATTCAGAATGGAAGAGGAGATAAAGAGTTTCAGAGACAAGCAAAAACTAAAGAAGTTCGTGAACATTAAACCAGCTCTGCAAAACAAATTAAAGGAGGTACTTTGAGTGGGCAAGAGAGACTAAAAACAACAAAGACTAGAAAGGAACAGAGACAATCTAAAGGAACAGCATCTTTAATGTAATACAATGGCATTAAATTCATATCTATCAATAACTAATCTGAATGTAAATGGACTAAATGCTCTAATCAAAAGACACAGGGTATCAGAATATATTTAAAAAAAAAAAAAAGCCCCATTGACATGCTGCTTACAAGAGACTCATTTTATACCTAAAGACACCTCCAGATTGAAAATGAGGGGATGAAAAGACATTTGTCATGCTAAGGAACTTCAAAAGGAAGCTGGAGTAGCCATACTTCTATCACACAAACTAGATTTTTAAACCAAAGTCCACAATAAGAGCTGAAGATGGGCACTATATCATAACAAAGGGTTCTATCCAAAAAGAAGATCAAACAATGGTAAATATTTATGTTCCCAACTTGAGAGCAGCCAAATATATAAATCAATTAATAGCAAAGAAACTCATTGATAATAACACAATAATAGTAGGGGACTTTAAGACACCACTTACAGCAATGGGCAGATCATCTAAACAAAAGATCAACAAGGAAACAATGTATTTAAATGACACACTGGACTAGATAGACTTTTTTTAAAAAACATTTTATTTATTTATTTGAGAGAGAGAATGAGAGAGAGAGAGCACATGAGAGGGGGGAGGGTCAGAGGGAGAAGCAGACTCTCTGCCAAGCAGGGAGCCTGATGCAGGACTCGATCCTGGGACTCCAGGATCATGACCTGAGCCGAAGGTAGTCGCTTAACCAACTGAGCCACCCAGGCGTCCTGGACTAGATAGACTTAACAGATATATTCAGAGCATTTTATACTAAAGCAGCAAAACACACATTCTTTTCAAGTGCACATGAACATTCTCCAGAATAGATCCCATACTGGGTCATGAATCAGTCCTTAACAAGTGCAAAAATGCTGAGATCATACCATGCATATTTTCAGACCACAACACTATGAAACTTGAAGTCAACCACAAGAAAAAAATTGGAAAGACCACAAATACATGGAGGCCAAAGAACATCCTAC